TGCAAAGATGAGTATTTTTTACTTAGAAAATTGGTTTTTGGACATTTTTAAACTGCCTAGATCACAGACTATGTATGCACACTCTGTTAAGTCTCTTTTCGTTGGTATTTCTGTATCAATTGACCTTTTATAATCTGTTAGCAGTGTTTTTCTCCAGATCTGCTGGCACAGTTTGATTAGAACCTTTACTAACTTTTCTGTTGCGTGACATATTTTTGTAGATATTCTGTCAATTCTTGTATCCTTCTGATACAGAAATGCTCAGAGTGCTGATCCAACTTCATCTTCTAGTATTAGATGTTCTTGTAAATAGAGAATACCTATGTTATTTTGAATGTTGACCTCTCTGTTGTACAGAATTTCAATATATTCTTTCCATCATTGCCTGATTTTCTACTATCTGTTCTATCTGTTCATTGTCAGTCTTTAACACATCTGTTCAAAATTGGAATTTCCTTCTGAGTTCAGCTATATTTTTTAAACAATCAATAAATTTCAATGGACCTGACTCCAAATAACTCACAGAAGAAAGGAAGATTTTTCCTGTTTATCTATATCTGTTTCGATCTTCAGTGTCTTTACTGATCACATTCTAATATTGTTTCTTTTCTCATGAAATTCTTTAAGTGCCTTCCTGAGGGGTTTCGGGTTTTTTTGCTTTGGCTTTTCTTCGCAATTTCCACCCTTTTCTGATATCCAATTTACTTTCTTCTGTTTTTTGATCTCTGGTAGTCTCTTTTCACATCCATCTTTAATAATTTCTTTAATTTCATTCTATAGTTTTTTGTGTTAGCAATTCTGATTGCCACGTTGTAAAAAAAGATGTTAAGATTCTAGAAAGAGTGCAGAGATGAACAACAAAGATTATTAGGGGACTGGAGGCTAAAACATATGAAGAACAGTTGCAGGAATTGGGTATGTCTAGTTTAATGAAGGGAAGGACTAGGGGTGACATGATATCAGTGTTCCAATATCTAAGGGGCTGCTGCAAAGAAGAGGGGGGGGTCAAGTTATTCTCCAAAGCACCTAAAGGCAGGACAAGAAGCAATGGATGGAACCTAATGAAGGAGAGAACTAAGGAGAAATTTCCTGACAGTTAGAACAATTAATTAGTGGAAGGACTTGCCTCCGGAAGTTGTGCGTGAGGTTTTCAAGAGGAGATGGGACAACCATTTGTCTGAAATGGTATAGGGTTTCTGGTTTTCCTGTTTTTCTTCATCAAAGGCTGGATCATAAACTTCAATGATCATATTAAAAACAGTGGTGGGATTCAGACAGTTCGCATCAGTTCGGCAGAACCAGTAGCTAATTTTTTGTTGCCCAGGTCCAGAATGGACTTCCGGAAGTGGCATCCACACAGAGAACCAGTTGTTCACATATTTGAATCCAACACTGATTAAAAAATTGTTTGCACACTTGATAATAGCAATAGCACTTAGACTTATATACCGCTCCACAGTGCTTTACATCCCTTTCTAAGTGGATTACAGAGTCAGCATATTGCCCCCAACAATCTGGGTCCTCATTTTATCGAACTCAGAAATATGGAAGACTGAGTCAACCTTGAGACAATCAGGATCAAACTGCTGACGGTTGGCAGAATTAGTCTGCAATACTGCACTCTAACCACTGTGCCACCATGACTGATAAAATTGGTATTTGGTGTTTTACTATACTGACCTAACTATTCTTCCTAATTATGAAAGCAACACCATATCCTGAGCAAAAAAAAAAAAAAAAGTATGGTTTTCTGAATGAAAGTATCGATTCCAGACCATTTCAATTTGTCTATGTCTATAGTCAATTAGACAAAGATGTAGTCTTTGTCGATTCATCTTTCTTTGATCTTTCCCATATTTAGTTTTCTCATGTTCTATCTTTCCACTGTAATCCTATTTTTTCAGCTTTGGATATTTCCCCCCCCCCTTTATAAATCCAGCAACTAGATGTCTGGAAGCCCATAATATATCTGTGTCAAAAATATTCTTAGTTTTATGAAATATATTCAGCTCTCTCAGTAGCATATTGAGTGCATTCTTACCTGAGGGGCACATCATCTGGCACTGTATTATCACTTTATTTTGTAGGCATTTGCTTATTTTAGGCAGATCAAATTATCTTCATACCTTAAGTGGTCCTGCTGGAACATATACTCTTGGCATGCCCTTTTGACATTCTTTTCTCGTCCCTTTCAAGAATGCTCCATTTCCATTATGAGACAGCATACAAGACTTGGCAAGGGGTAGAGGCTTTAGAGGCTGCTCTTAACAGCAACTCTGAGCAGCATATTGTGAAATGGTCTTTTTCTGAGATAAATAATACACAACCTAAGAGAACTGCAGATTTACTTGATCAAGTACCTTAATCCATTGCTTACTGAGAACTGAAAGTAAAAAAAACCTTAGTAACTCTTTTATATTGCTTGTCATCACTTTTCCTGGTCATGTGATCACACATTCATGTTTACCTAGTTACATATTCATATTCATTGGATTCAGATTTAATGAGTTCTGACTACTTTGGGCTAGCTGCCGGCAGTAAATTGGAAAGTCCATAGTGAGTTGAAAAGTCCACTTGCACCACTAGTATTTATTCAATACAGCAAGACCTGTTTTAATGATCAAGGGATTGTTTTATACAAAAAAGGAACACTAAACTGAGAAGACCTATCTATTGCTTCTAGTCTTTTCTTACTTTATGGTAAATGATTCACATACTATAGAGAATCAAAATTATTATACTTTGATAAGCATGGGTTACTGAAAATATAGGAAAGAAGCATAACATATGACAAATAATACTCTGAAGGTTACTTATATTACTCTTTACATACTTTTGACCATGGTTGTCTCTCTAGAACAATGACCCTGAAACCCATATGCTTGAATATGTTTTGCAAACTTTGTGGTATTTGAATCAATTGCTGTTGTCATCTTGCACAAATCAAGATTTGGATGAATCTAGTATCTTGTAGAAGAGAATTTTCACTGATCCTTACCTATGAAGTTTCATAAGAAAAGAGCCTAGGAATAGTTGCATCCTTGCACTAGGTTTGGGAAACACTACAACTTTTCTCTCCTAATGCTAGAATTAAGAATAATACATTATTCCCACATCTATGGAGATTCTCAATCATCCAGGTCATGGTTGTCCCAAAGGTTATTTTTCCAAAAGGCAATTGGATTTTCTTGTCTTTTTCCTTTGAAAATGTTTTGCTTTTCATTCAAGAAGCGAAGAAGAAGAAATGAAGAAGCACCTTTGGGATATCATTTCCATACAATTA